ATATTTAAAAAGAGAAAAGTGATAAGTAAAATATTTAAAAATTTAAAATATCATAACTATTTGTGAAATTATTTAAGTTTCTCTTTTAAATTATTATTTTATGTTAACTTATTAAAAATATTTAAAATTTTTAATTATTATTTTAAATATTTTAATTATTATAACTTTCTAACTATTCACAATTCTACTTAAAAGTCAAGGAAAATCGAAGTTTACTTTATAAGAAACTAGTTATCCATTAGAAACTCAAGAAGAAACTCATGGGTGTGCAGAATTCTCTGCTTGTCAAGTGGTGGTTTATGGTTAGAAGACACTGTCAATATAAAAGAACGTCCATGGACCTTGTAACCAAATTTCACTCCTTAAAAGGAGCTGCATTATTGTTACGAAGATGTCAAAAGTCGACTCCATACCCAATGGCAAGTTGTAACCATCTAGGAATCATCCAAGTCCTTGAGTTACAACTTGTCAGTACTGTTACATTTAAAATTTATAGTTTACTAGTGTAAGAAAAAATGGAAACTAGAATTTATTATTTATTTAAATAAAATATATTTATTACTTACTGTTTACACCATAATTCTCATTTTCTTGCGATGATGCTATGTGTCTACCACGACAATCAAAAGGCCATGATTTATTTTAAACAATTGGAAATTAAATAATTAAATGTTCATGATCTGGTGTGGTGCTGCCTATAGTAAAGAAAGTTTGATGCAATGGTTTGCTGCCAAGTGGCAGAGAGAGATGAAGATGTGGATTTTTTTCAGTAAATATGATGTGGATTTGAACTTGCCGGAGTCCAGTTGCATTTTGGACACCGCAAGAAAATGAGACAGGCCAAGCGGTGAAGAAGTTCAACAAGCCTGCCTCTCTCGTCAAAATCCAAGTTTCATTTTAGTTCAAAGTTCTTTCGGGTTGTGTTTGACATGCTGAATTTGAATTTAATTTTGATGAGTGTAATTAAAATTTATATATTTAAAAAATATATAATTTAAATACTTATAATTTAAATACATATATTTTAAATATTTATTAAAATACATAATTTGAATAAATTAAATTATTATGAATCTAAAATTGAATTGATGTTAATCTTTTTCATCGATTTATTTTCACGAATACTTTATATATAGTTTTTATTACTTTTGTCATTACTTTTTACTTTTTTTTTCTATTAAAATTATTTTATCAAAATTCAAAATAAAATTACTACTTTAGTTATCACATATTAATATCACAGCAAAGATTATCAACACCCTGTCCTTTCTATATCCTCACCTTCTCCGACAAAACCCACTCCCAAAATGCCAAAAAATTTGCTTAAACAAATTGCCGAGTCCAATTCAAGTAGTACAATGATAAAGTTGAGTACCTCTCAATCAACCGGGTTTAATTCTTTTCATCATTCCGGTTCACTACCCTCCCTCTTCTCCTTCGTATTCTTCATATATCACCTCCAGCAGAGTTTTCACGTCCTATTTTACAAACGTTTCTTCAAAACTCCTAGTCAACTCATAAGAATCAAAACCCTTTTTAATTTTCGAATCTTGTTCTATTTGTAACCCATTTTTACTCTTCTTTTGAAAATTTTGTTTCCTTATATTTATAGAAAATTTCTATGTTTTCTATTTGAAATTTCTAGTTTGCACCGAATCAAAGGAGAGAAAGCAAGATGGATGCAATGATGACGAACACTGGAGACACGAGGATCTTGAGGGAGAACACCACCAATAAATTACCTCTCCATGAGCAACTTGGCATACACGAGGATCTTGAGGGAGAACACCACCAATAAATTACCTCTCCATGAGCAACTTGGCATACACCACCACTTGCTCAGCAAATTTGACTTAATCGATACCGATCTTGTAACACACCTCCCTAG